AACTAAGATATAACGGATACGCGAATCTGTGTTAAATAAACAATAGCGACAACGTTGCCGGAAACAAACTGCGAAATTAAAATTGGGGTTGGTCCAAAGAACCAAAAGAATAGAAAGCAGACGGTTTTTATTTACACATGCGCCATGCCAATAAAGTGCCACGTTGCATCGTCTCGCTTGCGTTTATTTTGTCGCGCCATAGTGAGACCCTTTTTACTTTTTTCCGACGTAGACGAGACGCCGACGTCCGGATCTATACTTATCGGCCTTGCGAAAGGGATGTTCGGTTTCATTCATTCACTCGTTCGTTTGTGCGATGGTTGAACGAGAAACATACAAACGGGGGAGTCATGTACACGCACTTATTTCATAATGTACCCTCTAGCATCCATCATTGCTTTCTGACCCTTTGCAATCAGTTTAATGCAAAAGGGGGAAGAATTTAGCAATAGAATAGGTGCCATGTAGGTATATACTGATGAAATTATAGAGCATAGGCACAAAATGATGAAAAATAGATTTTTGAAGTCAAACTTCTTTACGCACGGTAGGGTAAGTTCGTTTCATGCGAAAGTTGCTATGTAACGAAATCGTGCAACGCATTTCCCCCGCTGTCTGTCCCTACGTATGCTTAGATCTAGATACGCAACGGATTTTAATGCATTTTTTTTAATAGATAGAGTAATTCAAGAGGAAGGTTTATATATATAATACATGCATAATATAGTAGAGAAACACTGATAATTTTAGAGGTTTCTAATGTGATGTCGTAAATAAACACATTTTTTGCGCTTACATTGCAAACGCTGGCTGAACCCTACGAGATAGATCAAAATAATGTACTACAGTATTGTACACCTTAAAAAGGTCTACAAAAAAGTCCGCGATGGTATATGTCTATCTCTTAGGGATAACCCACAATAACCATTTTTTATCCTTTACTTTTTACGAGAAATAATGGCTTATTTACGAAACGATTTTAAGCAATACAGCATTAATCCTTATCCAATTAAGTACTTTTAAATGCATTGTGCATTTAATATAGATCAATATGGCCCTTACAGCATGTAATTTAAATGAATATTTTTGAGGATATTACAGACTTAAAATGCAGGAACATAGCGGTTGCGGCGATACCGGTCAATGACAAAAAAACTGTGATTGTTGTATATAAAGACATTTTAAAGTACATTTTTACTATCAGCATTGCACCCGTGCGAAGCATACTTTACAAATAATACCATTAAACCAATTCCTTAACCAGTATCCCGGTATGTTTGAACAATTTTACATCAGTAGCGTGTTGTATAATTACACGTTGTATTTTTTTTTTAAACAAAGATTCGTGATGCCTAACACTGGCCGATATGTTTTATTGATATTGATAAGCTAAATTGGTTTAATTTTCAATCTTCAAAAGTACTAGATATCGAGACCCATATTAAGACCATTGTTGTTCCAAAAATATTAATTGCTTCGATATATGTTACTGCAATGAATCATTGTAAAGTCTGAAGAAGCAAGGCTGCAAGTTACTCATCATGCAAGTCCAAGATAACGAGACAAACAACAACAATTGGAATATATTAAGACCGAACAGGATGAATGACACCTCGAGATTTGTTCTTGTTTTTTACCAGAAAACTTTTACGAGTTAAAAAATGTCCGTGAGGGTTAATTATTGTACAATCAACATATCATTAATTTGTCCAATAAGCGCGTCATACAATTTACTCAATCAGAAATGTCAAAACTGTTCTAAATAAAAGTTAATATCAAACACAGAAAGGATATTATTGTATGTACATATTTCATAAAGGAGTCCTGATGCAGCTAAACATGAACTACAAAATCCAGGCTAGAAAATATCATCAGCAATATTTTTTTGGTAAAATGCGAGTGTAATATATGTATTTCAGTCGGATTATAATACAATATGATCCTGAACTATTCAACTAATCCCAAAGCTGGGGTTAGGACCCGAAAACTTAAAGAGGCATTGGCATTTCTGGCAAGTCTTCAACAACATCCGCATTACATACTCGACACATCGCATTTCCAAGAGTTTTCCCGCTGTTGCTGCTGAAACATCTCACAAGCCACAATCCTCTTCACATTCAACAAGACGGGAATACGTCATCAGAGCCATTCCTTCTTGCCAACCCATCGCGATTCCTTCCAGTGTAACGTCTTCGGCTCTTTTGCTCCACTTTTCCACCCCCTTTCCCGCTTTCCCCGGCTCAAACATTTTCGTCTTCGCTGTGCAAACGCGCTGCGCAAACAGCGTTCTACGCCAATCTCCGTCTCTCTCTTTTCCTGCGTCTCTACGTCTAGTATTAGTTAGTTAGCGAGTAAAAGCAGCGAGAGAGATTTTCTTTGTCTCCAAGCGAAGCAGAGATTCGCCCATTTTATATTATATTGATTTAAGATGGCGGCGGCGGCGTTGCGAGCGATTCGCGACCGCCGTCTTGGAGGAGAAACGTCGCCGTCGCTCTCTCGCTCGCTCGCTCGCGCACGAGAAGGAACCGCTACTCTCTCCGCAACGGGGATGGCACAGGACGGGGACTCGCGTTAATTATTCAACTAGGACAAAGTTTTAGAATATATTAAAGCTCTAATCTGGAAACGCAGCGCTGAATTTCCACGCTAAGTTAGATTAATACCTTGGAGAATTTACAATTTAGGTGCCTCTCGCCATTATTTATGCCTGAAAGCTCCTTCAGATGCAATTTCGGGTTGCTCCGGCAAGTAGGATTAACGGAAAGACGTAGCCGCGACGCCGTCCCGTTTTAAGGCGAGAGCACGAGCGCGGGACGATATAGACGTGAGGCGGGAGTAAGGTGCCTTATGGCAGCAGCAGCAGCAGCAGGCGCGTAATGAGTTTCCTTCATCTAGATACCTTTGATCTGCACGTAACGGATGGGCTTTTGTTTCAAATGCTCGACGACTACTTACGATTAGTTGCCTACTGGATAAGGCCGATGTTCGAAGGAGAAGACGCACATGAACGCAAATTAATCTCGAAATTATGTACCTATTAAAAGGAATCTATAGGGTTGTTCGGAAAGCCATTTCGTTTTTATTTGTGGAAATGAAAGACAGTTTTCGTATAATAAACAAATACTTTATTAAATTATATATTGACCGTTCTGGTCCAACACCTTTTGCCATCTTTCTCACGCTCATAAAATTTTTGGTCTTTGCTGGCAAAAAACTGATCGAGGAGTTTTTTGACCTCCTCATTTGAGGTGAAGGTTTTACCGTCTAAAAAATTTTGGAATGACCGCAACAAATAATAATCCAATGATGCCAGGTCTGGAGAATATGGTGGGTGTAGCATTGTATCCCATTCAAGCTGTAAAAGCTTTTGGCGAGTGACCAAACTTGTGTGAGGTCTCGCGTTGTCTTGGTGAAACACTACACCTTTCCTGTTGATTAGTTCTGACCTTTTCTGTTGAAGTGCATCATTCAGTTTGTCCAGCTGATGACAGTAGACTTCCGAATTAATCGTTGTGTTATCCGCCAAAAGCTCAAAAAAAAACGATTCCTTTAAAATCCCACCAAACAGACAGCATCACCTTTTTTTGGTGAATATCGGCTTTGGAAATGGTTTGAGCCGGTTCATCTTTTTTGCTCCATGACCTCTTGCGTTTGACGTTGTTGTATACAACCCATTTTTCGTCCCCAGTGATGATGCGCTTCAAAAACGGATCATTTTCGTGACGTTTGAGAAGCGAATCGCAGACGTCAATGCGGCGACACAGATTTCTCTCTGTGAGAACATGGGGAACCCATACATCGAGCTTCGAGGATAATCCCAGGCCTTTCAAGTGGTCATAAACTGTTGAATTTGATAAATTTAACCTCAATCCGATCTCACATGTTGTTATTCGCCGGTTCACATCAACTAATGCCTTTATCGCGTCTTTATCAGCTTCAACCGGCCTTCCCGAACGTGGTGCATCTTCGACATCAAAATTGCCGGATCGAAATTTAGCGAACCAGTTCTGGCACTGGCCTACTGTCAACACACCTTCTCCATACACATCAGTCAATTTCTTTCTGGCTTGAACAGCATTTTTACCCTTTCTGTAGTAAAACAGTAAGATATGTCGAAACTGCTGCTTATCGCTCTCCATATTTAAAAGGGCACGAACCAAAAACTACTGCGTAGAATTAATTGGAATTTTTCACACACAAGCCTTGCTGTATGAGCTCTCAAAGCATATAAAAATTATACGGCTTTAATGTGAAGTTGGGTGCAAAAGAATACAATTAAATCCTCTGTCGGGAAAAAAACGAAATGACTTTCCGAACAACCGGATAATTTTGTTGGTTGTTGTATAATAATAAATAAATTTTTTACAGATTTACACCTGATCCTGTCGTATATCAACTTTAATTTCTTTCTTCAACGTTTACATTCAGTTAGACGAAAAGTGGACAATGAAGAGATATAAGCATTGAAGATATAACAAGGATGAACTTCAGATGACTTTAATATATTAAGAAAATGATATCTTATCAATTATATCGGTACTGTAAGAAGTAGGCGAGATAGGTTGGTAGGACACCTTCTCAGCCATGAAGGTTTAGTCAAAGCAGAAACAGGAGTTAGGAGGGGTAGAGGTAGACCTAGATTAGATTACTGTTCGAAAATAGTTAAGGATATGGGATATTCTAGTTTTGAGGAAATACGAAAATTAGCCCAGGATAGGAAAGAGTGGAGTTGCGTGTACAACCAGTCTTAGGACTGACCACCTTATGATACTGATGAAGAAATAATGACGATGAATAAGACACACCTGATTGTATTATTTCTTTTTTTGTTAAATTCCATCATTAATAATTATTCGACTGTTGCTCTGTTATAGTTTAGAGTAAGTATATACAAAAACGCTAATACAAATTCGTATAAAAATACTACACAACAAAAGCACAATATGTTCGTATCAATAATTTAAAACAAAATCACTAGATAAATGGAATAATAAACTTACCAAAGCTCAGAGCAGCGCGGCGCAGCATGCAGATCATGCGTGACTGTAGCAGGAAGGAACTTGCATCAGCGATTAAAAATATCTGCAGAAGAAATAGAAAACTTGGTACAAATAGAAATATTTTGAATGTTCTTTTAAAAGTGCTTCACGAATTTATTAATAATTGCTATTTTCATTTATAAAAAGCACATTTAAAATCCCTTTAAACATAAAAAATCATCAAAACAACGCAAAGAATTTTCATTTAATTGACTTATTATTGATGTTTTATTATTAATAACAATTCATTAGCAAGTATTGAAGTGGCTTTTCAATTAGGTACTGATGTAAGTATAAAATTTTCGGACAAAGTATTTTTACCTCTTCAAAAACATTTATTTAATGTAGTGCTGTAGGTATATTATAATCCATTATTCTACATCTTCTCCCAAAATACACACGATAACTAATTTAAGTCCAGTCCACTTCATTTCGCAAAGTAATTACGGAATATACAAAGCACGACTCTCGCGGTACGCGTTATAAACTCTATTAAGCAATGACATGGCCGGCCGACTACAATCAAAATGGCGTACGCTCGATCGATCGTTGATCATCGGATCATACGAAGTTGCAAGCGACGTTGCGTCATGTACATTATTGAGTCGGAAAACTGATTATGATAATAGGCGTCGCAATTTGGTTTGCTACAGGGGGACTAAATAATTATAATGAAGATTTAAGATATAAAAAGTACCTAGTAAATAAAAAACAATATATTTTGCACATTAAACAACGATAAACTGAATTAATAATTATTAAAAAAGTCTGATTGCTAGATATTTAATGTAAAATACAATTAAAACCCCTGTTTTAGGGAATATAATAATAATAAATTCAGATGTTTATTTCGATAATAATTATTTAAACAGGATAATTAACATTTGTTCCTTGTGAATATGTTAAATTAAAATATATGTAAAAGTGTATTCTACATATTTTTAATTTTAATTTTAGTATCTCACACAGCCCCTTAGATCATATGTGTTTTTGTTATATAGGTACTTTGATACTACAAAATAGTGATGACATACCTATGTAAAAACAAAAAGGAATATAAATTTATGTTTTATTTTTATGAAAGATTCAACTTGATATCAATAACGACTCTAATATTTTCAATGAGAAGTTTATTGTTTTATTTTGTTTCGATTTCGACCATTCGGCCCTATTGTACCTATTGTTAAGTGGACACTAGACATTCTACTGTCTTTTACAATAGCGGAGGCATGTAGAGCGTGAGAAATAACAAGTTTTCAACTAAACATAACAACTATGTATGAAAAAAGATATCCAGTCCAGTTATAGAAAAGTTACATTTCAATGTAGACTGACAGGGGCAAGGGATGTACGATTAGATTACCCAAGAAACAAGTTATCTTTGCTACGTTATCCTTTTTTACATGGGTCAAAATTTAATACCTGCAAGGACTTAAACTTTTCTACCCAAATATTTCACGAAAATGTGGCGTATGTTTGTCATGAACATACAAGGCATGTGACTGGTCGTTCCGCACGCTTTTTTTTTATGAATACTTAACACAAAATCACACAGACATTCAAACTCCTTAATTAAATAGCAATCTTTAAAGTCCTTATAGTCAGGATAATTTTAGTTTTATTTTTTTTTTTAACGCTAAAGATGAGTTTCTAGTTGGAGTTTTTTAATTTATGAATAAAGAATTTATTCAAAAGTAAATATATTAGTACTCACCACTAAATAAAACCTCAAATAACAACTGTTGGATTGAACGGCAGTGACTGATGCTAAAAATGACTACCTCATCTGTAACAAAGGAAAAACAATTTAAATAAAACATTTCTTTGTTTTTATGTAATTCTATTAAATTATCTGTAGTTGCAAAAAAATTTTAATGCAATATTCATAAAGAGAAAAAATATTGCTACAACAATTGCAATATGTATCTTTCGGTCTATTCACTAGCAACAAAGGGAATCTAACATAAAATAATATAATCACCATATACAGTATCGGAAAAATTATAACCGAATAAATAGATATATTCTACTACATGCATCCATCAAAGGGCGGATTTATCTTTCAAAAATACGACGTGATATCTGGAAATTGGTACTTCTTATATAAGTCCAATTTAATGCTTTGTTTAGGTTCCACGTCATTTACTTGTTAAAAAAAAAACGAGACGGGTGACGCTGCGAGATGTAGGTACATATTGATGGGAAGGGGGTCTGCAATTTGTGGCGTCTTTATAAAGGGGGTCGTCAAAGTGTGACTTTGTGTGGCCCCATTGGGAAGGGGATATGAAAATGTCGAAAAACAGTGGAGGTCGTTTATGGATCTTTTGATGGGTGGTATGAATTGTTCAAAAGATTTTGACAGTTGTATTAGTTTAGAACAGTTCTCAGAGAGTCGACCCCTTCACCAACTCACGAATTTTCGCCTGTGTGGTACCTACATAAAAAGAAAACATGCCGACAAAGAATCTAATTTCTCTATGAGCATCAAAGAGACAGATTATTTAAATCTTCAGGATATGCCAATAAATTTATGACTTAAAAAAGCCGTAGTAGGCTTTAATAAAAAAATAGAAGCTTGTGGTAATTGAAAAGCTCATTATCAGTAAATTAGATATCGGACGAAAAGCCATTTCCGTCGAAAATTACCATCCCAAAAGCTTGGAAATCTTGTGCCTGGATACAAGCCAACGCATGCTGGATAAATATTGAGTTTCTTGCAAGATGATGAGAACTCCGACCCTTTGCTTACATGTACACGTCTATGGTAACGTCGTAAGCTGTAACTTAATATAAATGCTAATGCCTTATACTCCTACAGAAAGTTTTGGGGCCTTTTCGCTGTAACAACATACCGCCTTCGTTATCTTAGAATATAAACATCACGGCTTCTCGATAGTTTATATTATATGTGAGGCATTGAACTTACTATTAACTTGGGTATTTTCCACCTAAATGCAGGGCAGGCACAAAAAGGTTTTAAAGAATTTCAGTTTAGGCATATTTGATCTATTTAGGATCATTTTATTCTCATTATTCTTGTCCTAGACAAAAATTTTCAGTCTCTCAGAGTCTTTCAGCGTCTCTGATAGCGTCTCTCGCAGTCTTTCACAGTCTCTCAGTTATTGCCTAGGTGTTTTTAAGGATCTCTCACAGTCTCTGTATGAGAGACTCGAACAATAAAATTGTTAATTCAGAGATTCGAGTCTCTCACAGAGAGACTGAATTAATAAAACTGAAAAATTGAGAGACGTGGGTCTCTCGTAGAAAGACTGGGATCTCTGAAACATGTTGACCATGTCTATCGAGACACCACTTATTGAGAGATTCAAGTCTCTCGTTCAAAGACGCTAAACAGTTTTTTTGACAGTCTCTCTCAGCGACACCAGAGAGGCTCGATAAGAGACGGAGACTCGAGTCTCGCTTTCAGAGACTCTGAGAGACTGAAAATTTTTATCTCGGGTTACCGTTGATTGTTTTGGATGTATGACACAAAATTGCTTAAAATTTCAGTATCTAGGACAATTATTGTGTCGATAAATAGAAAAATTTATGTTTAGAAGAATTATTAAAAAAACGTAGGTAAGTACAGTGGATTTTGAGTATAACGACAACGAAGGGACCACTGTAATTTCGTCGTTATATCCAGAAGTCGTTACAGACAAAGTTAAAGAAGATACAGACACACACTTTTTTCAAAATTGAAACAACTTTCGCTTTTTTTTAACAGTAAATGTACATCAGGAAGTCACACCTATTCAAAACTTTACTAAACACAGTTGCTACTCAGAAACAACTGTAAAGGTCACCACACTTGTTGACTATTTGTGTGAATGTAAACAAAAAATAAGAAAGCTCTTTGTGTCTTTAGCGGCCGACTTCGGTCGCTATATCTGCATGGGATTACCAGGGATTTGTTACATATAATTAATTAAAAACAGTCGTTACACCCGAACTCAGCGTTACATCCGAAGTCGCTATAGCCAAATGAATTTTGTACTAATGTGCGCTTTAAATTCAAGGGACTTACACATGACGTCACTAAAGCACAATGGTCGCTATAACCAATAATAATCGTAATAAATGAAATCCACTGTATCAGATTAAATGAGCAAAAGCAAGACTTAACACGCAAGACCAAAACCGAGATTATATCAGAAAGACCGAGATCAAGATTAGGAGTATTTGGGCAACACAAAAACCAAAACTCAATTTTTAATGCCGAGTTTGAAATGTGCAAATTGCTTTATGACAAGGTCACAGTTGCTTGACGTGAAGCATTGGAAAGCCACCTCCAACATCACGGTATTGTTTAAACTCATTCGTATAAACAGTAATTAACATTTTCCTGTTATATTACATGAATATACGAGGGTGGATTGATAAGTTTCCGGCCTGACCAAGAAAAACAAGGTTTTTAAAAATTTTTTTTTTTTATTTCTCAACATAATCTCCTCCAAGGCTGATACATTTCTCATAGCGGTGTTCCAGTCTATTAATGCCATCTCTATAGACTGATTCGTCAAGCTCCTCAAAATAACCATTTACAGCTTCGATTACTTCTTCATTGTCCGCAAATCTCTTACCGCCA